TCGGGGGTCCCTAACCCATACACCTGGTGTCCTGCTGGGAGAGGAGGTGAGGCCAGATGGCAGCTCTGTGGCAGTGTGACAGGGCTGCCCCATGCGGGAAGGTGTCCGGCTTGCTTCCTGAGGCCTCCCCACGTATGTCAGATCCACGTATGCCCACAGTCCCGGGCCTGCCGAGGCACCCAAACCCTGGGGGTGCCCCTCTCTCTCACTCAAGGAAGAAATAAACTTAAAAGAAAAATAATAATAGGGTCGGTCCCATGGCCTACTGGTTAAGGGCGCCAGATCCCATATGGCTGTGTAGTTCGAATCCTGGCCCAGATGGGGGCCGCAACATGACCACGGCCCCACGGGGTGCCCTCCTCCTCCTGTCTCCATCTCTGGTCAGGGCACACACCTTCTCGCTTATAAACCAAAACATATTTGATTTTTTAAAAAAGGAAAGAACTAGCAGGTGGCATGGTGGCTGAGGCACCAGGCCCCCACAAGGCTGACCTTGGTTCAAGTCCCGGGCCTGGCGTCTTGCTTTCTCACTTTCTCTCTCTCCCCATCATGTCTCTTTGTGGTCAGATTAAAAAATGATAATAAAGAAAATATGAAAAAAGGGAGAGATAAAGTAATCAGTAGCAGGACGCGAGGACCCCCCAGCGGGAAGGCTGTGAAGGAGCAGTGGCCGCTGCCTGGGGGAAGCCACCCCCTGGCACTTGCACCTGGGCTCCTGCTCTCTGGAGCCAGGGGACGGTGTCACTGAAGCCACCGTGCCTGTGGGACCTCGGCGGCCTGGGTGCCGTGGAGAACGGCGTGTCCCCCAATGTCTCGAGTTCAGAACTGGCGTGGGGGTGGTGGAGTCTCATGGAGGTGGACTTGCCCTGTGCACAGTGTTGCATCTCGGGGTGACGTCCTGAGCCCCAGGACGTGCCCGCTGTCAGGACAGGGCTGCCCATACGGGAGCCTGCTGCTGTCACGGGGCTGCATGGCCGGCCCTTCCTGCGCTGCCCACCACTCCCTGTGCGGCCCCCTGCGGCTGGCCCCCTGCCAGGTGGCCACGGGAGCCAGGGTCAGTAACTCTCCTTCCCTGCGAATCCCCAGGCTCGGGCACTTCTGCTAGTGATGCAGGACAGGTGTGCACTCGGCCCCCCACCACAGGCGCTGTCCCCACTCGTGCTGCAGCTCCTTGAGGCCGGGAGCAGTTCGGATTCACCCCAGGGTCCCTGGCCCTCCTGGGACAGAGCTGAGCCACCCCTGGCCCTAGGGCGTGCCCCGAAGCAGATGCACCCTGAGTTTCCTGTGTCCCTGCTTCACGGAGGACAAGCACTGTGCGCATGCGCGGCCCAGGAGCCATGGGGGGCCACCCCGCACCTCCTGCGTGCTGGTCACACTCAGCATCGGCTGCACGGCACTGTCCGAATTGGCCCCAGTGACACCAAACCGGCCACAAAGCCCCGCAAGGGGGACTGTCTTTCTCACCCTTGTCCCCAGCAATGAGAACAGTGGACGCTCGCCGAGAAGCCGTTCTCCCTGTGGGAGTCGGTACCCACCTGTCCAAAGACAGGGCGTGGGAAGCGCCCGCGCAGCTGGGAAGGCGGGCAGGCAGCCTGGATTGGGAGCCCCCAGATGGCCCGCCACCCCGTCCCCAGGCTCGGTACCTTTCTGGCGGTGGGTGACCAGCAGGACGCGGCCGAAGCGGCCCTGGCCCAGGGGACGCACTTCCTGGTAGAGCTCTTCCACCTCGGCGCGGACCAGCGTCTGGGCACTGAGCGCCATCATGTCCTCCAGCGCCAGGGCAGCCTCCTGGCCCTGCCGCAGCTCCTCACAGGTCAGGCCCCCCAGGCCCTCCTCGGCCTCGCCCTCTGAGGCCTCGGCCCTGGCCTCCACAGGCTGCACCTCTGACTGCCTGCCCGGCATCTCTGCAGAGACAGAGGGGACCCGGGCTCAGGCCTGACAAAGCCTGGGCCCAATGGGGAACAGGTGGGGGCCTGGACCCTGGTCCCCAGGAGCAGGGGCTGGGCCCTGACCCTGGGGTCCTAGGGAGGAAGGGCTGGGGCTGGGCTTCTGGGTCTGGGGGAGGAAGACTTGGGGGCTCCTTGTCACCCCTGTTCCGCCTCAGTCTACCTCCTGTGCGAGGCTTCGGAGGAGTGGGGAGGCCAGTGGCTGGGGGGGGGGGGGGGCCC